CTGTGGCCCCAGGTCAGTGTGCAGCAGCCTGAGAGAGAAACTGTCTGGAAAGCAGCAACGCAAGGAAAATCCATTAGCCCTGTTTCAGGAGAGAGACTTCCACCAAGGAGAAAAGGTGAGAAGTGAAAGGACTTCAGTCATTTGTAAAAACAATCCACTGTGTCACAAGCAACACAAAAGCAGCGGAACCCAAACTGACCTGAACCCAAACCTGAATCCTCCGCACCTGCAATGGCTCTGGCAACCCCAAGCAGGAGCAGGTCCTAGTGCTCCTTACAGAGGAAAGGAAGTCACTCGGATATCATGATCGAGATCGTGAAGCATTAGCAATCGCACAGGAAACAGTCACCTTGGTAACTGAAATGCTGAGAACAGCCCAGAAAATCTGGCACAGGGCAGGTTTCTGTGCTAACTGGGTTGGTTCTGCAGGGATTCAGGCTGGGCAGACCCCAGCATCCAGCCCAAAGAGCTGCACCAGGAACCACCGGCCACGGGGGCTGTGGTACCCCAGGCCCACCCTCAGGGCCACGGTCCTGCTGGGGGGCCTGGCACGCCGTGGACAGGCAGCACTCACCCCAACGCCACCTCAGCGTGCTTGGAAGTCGTTCCTGCAGCCGTCCAGCCCAGGCCGGCCCTTGGTTGCACAGCAGAGCTGGACATGCCCCACGGAGTTATATAGAGGATATGTGGATGGGGGCAGACCCAGTGGTGGGAGGTGGGCTGGTAGGCAGGCTGCCTGCCCCACCCACGCACCTTATCTTCCGATGCCTCCTTTGGGCACCGGCAGCTATGCCAGGGCAGGTGAGGCGCCACTGCACCTGGCCCTGTGACATATGGTGCTGGGGAGAGGAGCTGACAAAGGGCCCTTGTCACCATGGGCTTACCGCAGTGCCGCGGGGCAGACAGGCAGGAAGCACTGCACTCTTACATAAACCGCTGGCCTGGGACCTGCGCTGACCCCGCTGCCCTGCCAAAGACAACGCCTGGCCTGAAGAGCACCTGGCTGTGGGTGGCACAGTGCCACAGGCAGGGAAGGGACATGCTGTCCCAGCAGCCCCCCGGAGCACAGCTGCAGATGGAGCAGAGACAAGGGCCACCAGCATGGATCTGGGCGGCTGCTGTGCCCCCCTCACCTCACAGGACCGCCTGGCAGGACCTCTCTGCCCCCAGCCGTGGTGCAGCAAGGGGGTGAAGCAGTTACTGCAGCCACGTTTGCCAGGACCATGAACCCTCCTCTCAAACTTGGCGCCATGGCTCAGAGGCACCAGCACACCCCAGGAGACAGCAGGAGCAGCTGCTCCATGCAGCAGTGTACCAGCAAAACCGCAGCCCTATTGCGAGCCAGCCGCACTGTCCCATCTCGCAAGGTCTGCCCTGCCAGGATCCCCTGGGGCCCGCACTACAGGCACAGGGGCCAAACTTCTCGCTGGGGCTGGGAGAGACCCCCCCCGGTACTGAGCACACTCTGCGGTGTGGCCCAGCTGCACACACAATCAATAGAAACCTACTTTCGTGGAAAAATCAGGTCAATTTTTGGCTTTCAGGTTGCAGAGACTGAACAAACCCAACAGTGATGCAACTGCCCATCTGCCTGAGGTCTGTGGGAGGCAGAGCAACACAGGGCTGCACCCCTGCCTGCAGGCACAACAGCCCGGGGGACCCCCGGGACTGCAGGCGGAAGCAGCCAGTGAGTGGGGACCAGCAGAGGAAGGGCAGAGGACCCACACAAACAGCAGAGAAAATGAAGTAACAGGCAGCAATGGCAGGCAGAAACATCCGGAGGGACAGAATCAATACCTGAATGTTTACCTAGCACAGAGCAACCCGCTCTGCCTCCCCCCGTCCTGTGCCAGCACAGGGCAAGCCCGCAGTCCCTCTGCTGTGCTGTTCAGCCCCTTCCCTGCACCCGCCCTCACCCTCTCCCAAAGCTGAGGCTGCAGTCCCTTTCCCTGGAGCCTCTCCAACCCCTCTCCTCCCTTCCCCCCCGGATGCTACCAGCCTGAGACTGCCGTGGCCCTGCCAGGAGCTGTGCTCCGCAGGGTCCTGCTGGCTCCAGCGGCTCTATTCCTCTCCAGCTCCCAGACACAACATCTCACTGTGGCCACATGCAGGGACTCGGGCCCAGCCTGAACACTCTGACCTTGTCCTGCAGTACAGCATCAGACACAAACTGAGTGGCTTGGGGGAGTTCTGTAACTTTATCTGCCTCTGGCTTTGTCAGCAGAAGCTGTAACGCTGGCAACGTATAGACCTACCCCAGCTCTGCCCCTGCTCTGGGCTGTGGTACGTGAGCTACCATCACCTATCCCATGACAGCACCCTGCCATCACCCGCCATGCAGGTGTGGGGACACCTTTCTGCAGCCCAAGCACCATAAGGTGCTTGTGGTACTCAGGGTGCTCCACACGAGTGACACATATAGGAACACAAGTACACGTGTGCAGGGAACACCAGGCTGGGAACCCACCTATGGCCCAGCAGCGGGAGCCCTGTGTACCCATGGGCTTCAGTGGGCTGGGAAGGGGGTGCTCACAGACACGGACAGACAAACCCAGCCCAAAGCCCGGCAGGCACAGCTGGCACAGCACTGCGAGGCAGACTGGCCCATATTCCAGGCTCACTCATGCCAGCAGCTGCCAGCCTCCCGCAGCCTCACACCACTGTGGGAAGGGGGGGCTCAGCCCTACTAAGTGCCCCCCACCTCTGCCGCAGCCCGGCTGCCGACAGCCAAGCGCTGCAGGGCTGACACGTCAGCAGCCACTGTGCTGGGGAAAGGGGACGTGGGGCAAAGACACTTCATAGCCAACGGTGGCTTCTTGCCACAGCCTCCAGTGCCGGCGGCCACAGAACCAAGCCAGGCTTAAAGATATTTCCCTGTTTGCCCAGGTCTTTACTTTTGCCTCACCTGAATGGGACAGTACGTGCTTTGTGTGCAGTCCCCAAACTTCCCCTTAGCTGCTGTGGCCAATTGTTTTTCTGAGCGCTGTTGGAGCTCCCTCCTTGCCCCCCTGGCACAGGACTCATCAGGTGGGAACACACTGTGACAGTCCTCAACATTAACTTCTCATCAGATGACCAAACACAGAGTGGGAGTTCCAGTTGTCATCTGAGTGCAAAGGCCAGAAGCACACAGGTCGGCTCTTGCTCGTTCCTGGTGGAGGCTGGGGAGAACCTTCAGGTGCTGTAGGATTATAAAGCCACCAATGCCTCAGTTGCTCAGGCAAACCACCAGCTTCAGGGCATGAAGGGAGCCCCCCACACCCCATCTAGTGCAGGGACACACTAAAGCAGGGGAGCCCTGGAGAAAGCCCCCAGCTCTGCCTGCGGCAGGAATGGGACAGGGAGACCCTTCCCCAGCACCACAGCAGGGACTGAGCAGGAATGGCTGCTGGGTGCAGCCAGCTGGCATTGCAAGGGGCTGGGCCCACCTGCCCCCGTGCCTGGGGGCAGCCACCCCTGCCTGCAGCCCTGCCGGATCACGGTCACCCGACCGGATCTGCCCAGCCCCAGCATTTCTGTGGGCCGGGGAAAGTGCCCCAGGAGGGAGCCGGCCTCAGGACCTCTGCAGCCACTGCTGGGACCCTCCATCCCAGTGGAACTGGGCCCAGACTGGGATGGTACTGCTGCCAATTGGGTCTGCTCTCCCCAAGACAGGCTCCACAAAATCCTTCCAGAGGGACATCTCCCAGTCCAGACCAAGGACACTTTTCCTGCACTCCCTTATGGATTGTGCTCCAGTGCTGACCCACCAACTGGAAAACACATGTGCATTGGGCCTTCCTCACTGCCAGGGCTGGCCTCGCCCCACACAGCCTCCGCTGCACGGGCACAAGGGCACCTGCTCCAGCACTGACAGGGCAGGCACCCGGCAGTGCAGAGTTAAGCACGGCTCTGCTTCCCAAATTCCCCTGCCAGCAAGCAGATTTCATGGAAGATAAAAACTCATTCTTAAAACCTCTTCCTTTCTTCAGCAGAAGGTAGCAGGCAGAGGGTGGCAGATGTGGCTGCGGTGGCTTGTGCTGTAGTTTTACCCAACTTAGAAGTCGTTATCTTCTGCACAGGATGTGAGACATCCTGCATCAGCCAATCGCTCTGGCGCTGCGAAACCTCGAGCCCCACGGAAGCTGAGACATGCTGACACGGGCAGCCCCCGGCTGCTTATGGAAAACCCCGCATGGCTTTTCTCGAAGCGGCCGTGGCCCTGACCCTTCTCCACACGTACATCACTGCACCGATGCCACCAGGAATCCCAGGGGCTCCCCCAGCATCGCTCTGCGGCACGGCGAAGGGTCCTGCTGCACCGGCAGCAGCCCTATCCCAAGCGCTGGCGTCCCCGGGGGCTGCGGGGGGACACACGGCTGGCCCGGGGCCACTGGTCCTTGCTGCCCAGGAGGTGGGGACCCAGGCGGCAGCGCTGGGACTCGGCGGGGCTGTCTGGCAGCGGGCAGAGCAGTAGGGCTGGGGCCAGGGTTGGCTCTGGCTGTCGGGGCCAGAGCGGGAGGGACTGGGCAGCTTCAACAGTAGCCACGACCACCCTGCCCCAGCCCTGCCCCGAGCAGCCGCCTTGGCGGCGGGCACAGCACAGACCCACGGGCCCCGCTGTGCACTGAGCGAGCAGCAGTTTTTCCAGGCTGTGCCGGGGGAATTCAGTAAAGGAATGCGCCAGCTGCAGGACGTGGCCCACAGCCCAGCAAGTTACGGAGCCCCCGAACCCTCGGTGTTCCAGCAGCGGCCGTTCAGACCCAGCCCCGCACGGAACGCGCCCTCCCCGAGCGGGGGGAGGCAACCGCGCCGGCCGGGACTGCAGCCGGAGCCCCGCGGCGCTCAGACACGGCCGGAGGCGCCAGAGCCCCGTCCCGGGGATACCCCGCGTTGCCCCGCCGTGCGGTGGCCCCTCGGCCGGCGCCTCGCCCTGACGCCCCGGTGGATGGCAGAAAATCTGCAGCGTGCGGGAGGGAACCTCCCCCGGCCGAAGGCGGGACCCAGAGCGGCCAGGGGCTCCCCCCGCCACCCCGCCCCAGGGCCAGCGGCTCGGCCCGGCCCGACCCGGCAGTGACGCCACACTGAGCGTCACTTCCGGCTCCCGGCGCGGCCCCGACTCCGGTTCCGGCGAAAGCGGCCGCGGTTCCGGTTCCGGCGTTGTCAGCGCCGCAGCTCGGACCCCGCTCGGCCGGGCCCCTGCCGCCGCCACCATGGCGGTCCCCAGCGCTCTCATGAAGCAGCCGCCGATCCAGTCCACGGCGGGCGCCGTGCCCGTCCGCAACGAGAAGGGTGAGCGGGGGCCCGGGGGGCGCGGGGGGGGCAGTGCCGGGGGGGCGCGGGGCCGGGACCCTCGGTGACGGCCCGGCGCTCGCAGGTGAGCTGTCCATGGAGAAGGTAAAGGTGAAGCGGTACGTGTCGGGCAAGCGGCCCGACTATGCGCCCATGGAGTCGTCGGAGGAGGAAGACGAGGAGTTCCAGTTCATCAAGAAGGCGAAGGAGCAGGAGGTGGAGCCCGAGGAGCAGGAGGAGGAACTGGCCAACGACCCTCGGCTCCGGCGCCTCCAGAACCGCATCGCAGAGGACGTGGAGGAGCGGTGAGTGACGGGTGAGGCGGGAGCTGAGCTCCCTTTGCCTGGCAGGGGCTGGGGAGCCTGCACTTTTCTGCGGCACTGCAGGGAAGAACTGCACCGGGCAGGAGCTGGGAGCATTGCCCGGGCAGTGCAGGAGAGTCCGTGACTCTTCTCACATCCATGTTGCACTCTCCCTGGGGCTCCTTTCCAACCAGGAGCCAGCCAGGCAAAGCCCCACATCCAGGCGCACTTGAGGGGGTGGTGGCAAAAGCAGGCTCCAAAATAGATATTGGTACAGTGTGCTGAGGCTCGAGGCAGTGGGGAGGGATAGTGTCATGTGAAGTGTGCTCTGGGGAGGGAGCACCAGGTGCTGCTTGCCTCCTGTGGAGCTGCTGCTGGTTTTGTTTCCAGTAACAGGGAGGCTTCCAATTGAGAACTCCATTCCTACTCGAAGCATGGACAGTGAGGAGCTGCCTGTGCCCAGCCACTGCAGCCTCCTGGGAGAGCACGTCTCAGTTCTGTCCACACCTGGCAGTGCCAGTGCTTACCTTGCCAGGAGCGATTCCTGAACAGCCACCTTCCCGTAGCCTCTTGACATTACGAGTGCCATGGGTTAATTGGGGCCTGTTGCAGGCTTGCGAGACACCGCAAAATTGTGGAACCTGAAGTGGTTGGAGAAAGTGATTCGGAGGTGGAGGGGGAAGCATGGCGGCTGGAGCGGGAGGACACCAGTGAAGAGGAGGAGGAGGAGATCGATGATGAGGTGCGCTTGCAGAGCTGGAGAATGGGCCTAGGGAAACTGGAATGGCACAGGCTGAAACTGCCCTTTGCACAGATATGTGGGTTTTCTGATGGAGCTGGACAAGTGTTACACTTGGCCATGACTTACCTGGTGGGTGACCATCCTCTTGCATGGGACTGGACACTCAGAGAGGCCACCCTGCATCCGGAGGGGTGGGTGTATCTTCTCAAAGCCAACACTCCAAACATCATGCGTGTTTTACAGAGGAGAGAGGGAAGCGGTAGCGGGGCTGGTCTCTGACTGCTCTGTGCTGTTCCCCATTAGGAGATCGAGCGTCGACGTGGGATGATGCGTCAGCGAGCGCAGGAGAGGAAAACGGAGGAGATGGAAGTGATGGAGTTGGAAGATGAGGGTCGGTCTGGAGAAGAATCTGAGTCAGAGTCCGAGTATGAGGAGTACACGGACAGCGAGGATGAAATGGAGCCACGTCTCAAACCTGTCTTCATCCGCAAGTAGGTGACACGGTTGCATGGGCCGGCCCTGGCAGGGACTCAGGAGTGACAAGCTCGGGGCTGAGCAGACCCCGCTGCCGCGGTCCCTTCCTTGCCATGGGGCAGCCGTTTGCCTCCCCCAGATGGGATGGTCACAGCCTGGCAGGGCATAGCTGAGGAGCGAGAGGCGGTCCCTGTACCCACAACCCCTCATTGGCTGTGTTGTGTCACTGCGGGATCACGCTGTGGAGTCTGAGCGGAGCCCTTGGGTGAGGGCTGTACAGTGGCAAAGGGAGGTGGTAGCCTCGAGAAAGGGGAGAGGCCCAGGGCTCGGCCTGTGCTTGCAGAGGGCAAAGGCTGAAAGCGGCCGCGGTGCGGGAGGGGATGGAGTCAGCAGGGGGCCAGGCAGCTGCGCTGGGTTGCGGTAGGGCTGAAGGCTGTTGTGGTCCTGCTCTCAGGAAGGACCGGATCACAGTTCAGGAGCGAGAAGCGGAAGCCCTGAAGCAGAAAGAGCTGGAGCAGGAAGCAAAGAGGATGGCAGAGGAGAGGCGCAAGTACACACTCAAGGTGCGGAGGGTTGGGCTGGGGGCTGCGGGGGGCAATCACTGCAGCAAGTTTAGCTTGGACCTCGCTGCAGATCGTAGAAGAGGAAGCAAAGAAGGAGCTGGAAGAGAACAAACGCTCGCTGGCAGCACTGGATGCGCTTGATACAGATGATGAGAATGATGAGGAAGAGTATGAGGCCTGGAAGGTCCGTGAGCTGAAGCGCATCAAACGGGACCGTGAGGAACGAGAAGCGTAAGTATTGTCTGTGTAGACACAAGGCTTGGAACCCACAGGCTCCTCTAAAGAAAAAGCACCTTTTCCCTGCCCTTTGGCAGCAGGGTCCCAGCTGGACCGAGTGCCCAGAGCCCTTCCTGCTTGCCCTCAGGGCACCTTTGCTCCCTGACAGTAAATGTGTAACCCCTTGGGTGGTAGCTGGCGACAGCTGCTGTCCTGGGAGCTGCCCTGGGGACACGGGATCTCAGCGGCTTCTCTCTCACCCAGCATGGAGAAGGAAAAGGCGGAGATCGAGCGCATGCGGAACCTGACGGAGGAGGAGCGCCGAGCTGAGCTCCGGGCCAACGGCAAAGTCATCACCAACAAGGCAGTGAAGGGCAAATACAAGTTCCTGCAGAAGTACTACCACCGCGGCGCCTTCTTCATGGTGAGTATGCCAAGGGCTGGGCATGGCCACAGGGGCTGTGCCAGACCCCAGGGCCACCTTTTTGCTCTGGGGACCCTCCCCTATCCTGCAGTGCTCTGGGGCTGAGGTTGCCCTGGGACAAGAGCCAGCCCTCAGAGGCATCACGGGGCTGAAGCTGACTCAGCATGACCTCACCGGACCCCGTCAGGTTGAGGGTTCCCAGCTGAGATGAAGTCAAAGCTGCAGAGCTGTCCCTGTGCTGCTGTCTGGGCCACAGACCCAGCCAGAACCAAGCTAGCTCCATGTGGGCTATGACCTGCGCGTTGGAGAAGTGGCCTGGGGGACAACGCTCACATCCCCCCCTCCAGCAGTAGTTAATAGGGCTGCAAGTACTATGGCAGCCCTGGCAGAGCAGCGATACAAGCTCTGGGCAGCTCCCCCACTTCTGCTGGTGCTGGCCGGAACCTTTGAGGCTGAGCAGACATGTCCTTTTTCTGCAGGATGAGGACGAGGAGGTGTACAAGAGGGACTTCAGTGCCCCGACCCTCGAGGATCACTTCAACAAGACCATCCTGCCCAAAGTCATGCAGGTGGGTGCATTGGCAGAGGGTGCCCAGCCCACGTGCCAGACCAAAGGGTGGGGGTTCTGGGCAGGGGGGAGCAGCGGGTCCTGCAGCCACCCTGAGCAGCTGCTCACGAGCTCTTCTGCTCCCCAGGTCAAGAACTTTGGGCGCTCAGGGCGGACCAAGTACACGCACTTGGTGGACCAGGACACCACCTCCTTTGACTCTGCCTGGGGCCAGGAGAGTGCACAGAACACCAAGTTCTTTAAGCAGAAGGCAGCAGGTGTGCGGGACGTCTTTGAGAGACCCTCAGCCAAGAAGCGAAAAACCACCTAAGGGCACGGGCAGGAGGGTCTGGCGTGGCTGATGCTGGCAGGAGGGCACTGCCCTGCCAGCTGTCGGAGCCTGGGCAGGGACAGAAGGGACTCGTGCCGGGACTCCTGTGGTGACAAGCTCTTCCTCTGCCCGTGCTGTGCCTGCCCTGATGTGGTGTCCCGCTCCCGGTGCTGCACAGACCAGGTGGGCTCCTTGCCTGTGCGCTGTAGAGGACAATGGTCTGTGATGCTGGCCAGGCCAGGCCTGTGGACAGACAATGTCCCACCAGCTGCCAGTCTGTAGCCTCAGCAGCGCCCAGCAGGCCGTGCAGGCGTGCAGCAGTACCCCTAGATCCAACACACCAACTTCTGGAGAAATTAGAGGACTTTTGTACCCATCTGTTCCACAACACCTCCCCTTTTCTTGTACTGTCCCTGGTGTCAGTCTGGGCCCTGTTTTGGGGTGGGCAGCGGTGATCCTGTCTCCTTACCCTGTTCCTGCAAGGTTTGGCTTTTCTACCTGTGTGGGGTGGGGGGGTTTGATTAAAGATGATTTTTCTTACATGCTCTGGCCCTGTTGTTCTTACAGACATGGCCACGTGGTTCTGCGCCTTCCTGCGAGCTAGGGTGGGCACCAGCCTGGGCAGGGCATGCACGGGTGGCTGTCACTGCTGCCTCAGGCCTGGGCCTGGGCCTGTGAAGCCCCAGGGGGGTGAGGTTAAAAGAGGGGAGTGCAGCAAGTGTTGGTGCTCAGCCAGGTCACCTTGTCCTGCTCCAGTCACGGGTGTGCCAAGCCAGTACTGCCAAAGTGATGCCACACACATCTTCCCGCAGGCTGGGCCCTGCCTGTGGGACCTGCTGGGCAGGTCCTGGCACTGCGCAGACCACAGAGACAGCCCAGTCCCACCAGTGCCTTTATTGGTGCAGTGAGAGCCATGCCCGTGGCCCGGCTCAGTTGGTGAGGGTGATCAGGGCCTCCACCACGTTGCCCATGTGCTCGCGCAGACTGCGCTCCGCTGCGGCCCGGGAGATCTCCATCTCCGTCATCTGCGGGGAAACCACAGCCCGGTACAGCAGCTGCAGGGCCCCACGGGCTGGGCAGGGGACGGTGGACGGCAGCTGCCCGGGAGGACACCTGCCCGGCCTCAGGGCACGCGTGCACCAGCCCCCTCCGTGGGTGCAGTTTCACCCCCAGGTTTGGGACACGACAGGGCTCACCCGGCGCCCCGCCTCTACTCACAATCAGCTCCAGGTCCTCCTTCTTGATGGTCACTTTTGCCAGTTCTTTCTCCCTGCGACAAGAGACGAACAAAGCTCCGATGATCGACAGCCCTCCCCGGTCACTGCCCCGGCGCAGCAGTGCGGGGTGTGCGCTGAGAGGGGGCCGGGCCCGGGCCGGGCCGGTCAGACCGGGTGGGCACTGCGGGCCGGTGTCCGGGTGGGCACTGCCCCCAAGCCCCGAGCGAGCGCGGGCTGTTACCTCTCCTGCTTTGCTTTCTGCTCCCGGGATCTCCGGTCTCCGATCACCGACATGGCCTGCCAGAACGAGCGCAGTCACCGCGCTGCGCGGCACCGGGCGGGTCAGCGCCGCGCCGGCGGCACGGGCACGGGGACCGGCACCGGGACGGACGTGCAGGCTCGGTGCTCAGGGCCCGGCTCGGCCCCACTGCAGGCGGTGCCCAGCCCCCCACCCCGGCCCGGTCCCGGCCCCGTCCCGCCGCCGCACCGTCTCCAGGTTGGAGCTCTGGATTTCCTTCTCCTCCGCGTAGTCCGTGACGCGCTCCAAGTCCGCCGCGCCGCTGTCGTGCTTCCGCGGCTTCTCGGCCGCACGCCCGCCCGCTCCATCGCTGCCGCCGCCGGAGCCATTCGGCTCCGTCTCCAGTTCCAGCTCCACGTCTCCCTCCGCCGCCATCCCGCCGCCGCCGGGAGCCGCTTCCGGTCACGTGCGCCGCCGACGGAGCTAACGGGAGGCGCGCGCTTAAAGGCGATGAGGGGGGGCCGGGACCGCCTTCGGCCCTGGCCCCGCCCCTCCGCCCGGCCTGACCCCGCCCCCGGGGCCGCCGAGCGCCCGTGGCTCGGTCCGTCCCGGTGTTCCCCGGGCGGTTCGGTCCGTCCCGGTGTTCCCCGGGCGGTTCGGTCCGTCCCGGTGTTCCCCGGGCGGTTCGGTCCCTCCCGGTGTTCCCCGGGCGGTTCGGTCCCTCCCGGTGCTCCGAGCGCTCCGGGGCCGGCGGCCCCGGCGCTGCCGAGACGCGGAGCTGGGCCGGGCGGGCGCAGCCCCACCGCCGCCCTCTGGTGCCCGCCGGCGCTAAGCCGGGATTACTGGGTCAGCGATCCCGATTTGGCTCCCGCTGCCACACGGATGATCGGACGGGCCCGGCCGCAGCGAGGCCCTGGCCGGGTTTCGGGCGCTGCCAGAGGCGGGAGGCGGCCGGGCCGTGGCCTTGCGCCCCCGAGCTCGGGGTGCGCTGGGTCAGCGGAGGCCGCACCGGCAGCGCGGCCCCGGCTGCCGCGGATACGGCGGGTCCGCCCCCGCCGCTCCCCGGGTGGACACCGCGTCCCTCGGGCCGGGCTGCGTGCGCAAAGCCGGAACGGCTGCGGAGCAGCCGAAGGAAGGTGACGACGGCCCCTGCACGCCGTGGCTCGTCCCCAATCTCCTGCCGACACTGGGGGTTCCCGCTCACCGCTGGATGTGCCTTATGCCATTCCCCTACCCTCGTGGTATCCGTGTCCCTTGGGTGCCTCTGTGCCTGGGGGTGCTCCAGACCCCCAGTACCCCCACACTCCCCAGCTCCTCCGCACAGACCCGGGGCATTGCTCTGGGATCGGGGTTACATCATCGGCAGACCCCACGTGCCCCCCAAGCCCGCCCATGCCCAGGCCGGCTTCCACGGCCTCGTCCTGCCCAGTGAGGGGCCGGGGTGCAGGCAGGGCTGCCCATGGCCGGGGATCACTGGACACTGCCCACGGAGCGTCCCAGAGGCGGCTGCCGGGAGGGAGCAGCGAGCAGATGGCAGGGCGGGCCGAGCCGACAATCCTCTAATCCCATCAGCGCCGCGGGGGCTGAGCAGAGCCGAGCCGGGCCATGGCGGGCACACGGGCACACGGCTACCTCCTGCACCCGCTGCTCTCCCAGGTGGGACTCGGGGCCTGGCGGGGCTGGGAGCGGGGCCGGGAAGGGAGGAGATGCCGGGCCAGGCTGGGGGGCAGTGCTGGCCCTGCGGGATCCTCGCTGACCGTGCTCCCCCCCCAGCTGTGCTGCGGTTGTCATGGGCTCCGCATGTCCACGAACACGCGGATCCTCTACACGCTCCTGCATGTCCTGGCCTCTGCCGTGTGCTGCCTCATGCTGTCCCGCACTGTGGCCCAAGCCATCACAGAGAAGGTGACAGCAGGAGCTGGGACATCCAGGGTGCTGGGAGTGCTGGGGGTCCCCTGGGGTGATGAGGGTCTCAAGGATACCATGAGTGCTGGGGATACGGGGGTGCCAGACACCCTGGGGCACCCAGGGGCATCCAGGAGAGCACTGGGGGTGCCAGAATTGCCAGGGAGTCAGGAGTACTGGGTTGCTGGGGATAGTAACAGGGCTGCTGGGAGTGACAAGGGTGCTGGAGGTGTCAAGGGGGAAGGGGTGCAAGGAGTACCAAAGATGCAGGGTGTTGGGGGTCCCAGGGTTACTGGGAATGCTGGGGATATCAGAAGTCTGGGTGCACTGGATGCCATGGGTCCTGGAGGGTGCTGGGTGGAAGCACCAGCAGCCTTGTCCTGTCACCCACCATGCCTGCAGGTGCCCTTCTCCGTGGTGCTGTGCCAACACCTGCCTGGGGGCACAGACTGTGAGCGGCTGGTGGGCTCCTTGGCTGTGTACCGGGTCTGCTTCGGCACCTCCTGCTTCCACCTGGCACAGGCTGCCCTGCTGCTCAACGTGCGCTCGAGCTCTGACTGCCGCGCGCAGCTCCACAATGGGTACGGGCAGGCCATGGGGCTGGAACAGGGTGTCCCAGGATGGGGCTGCCAGGGGCTCTGTCCCACTGATGTTCACTGCCCTGCAGGTTCTGGCTCCTGAAGCTGCTGGCACTGGTGGGCCTCTGGGCCGCAAGCTTCTTCATCCCGGAGGACAACTTCATCCAAGGTATGTCCCCCACCCCACCCAAGCTGGCAGCCTGGGCATCCCTCACAGCCCCCACCTGCCCTTAGCTATCCCCACCTCTGCCCTCTCCCCCCAGCCTGGCACTACACGGGTGTCTGTGGGGGCTTCGCCTTCATCCTCATCCAGCTGGTGCTGATCACGGCCTTTGCACACACCTGGAACAAGAACTGGTGAGTGCCGGGGTGCCGGGTGGGCACCCACCTGCTGCCACCGCTCACACGCTCTCCCACAGGCTGACGGGCGCCGCGCAGGATAAGCGCTGGTACCTGGCTGTGCTGCTGGCCACGGCCGCCTTCTACACCCTCGCCTCTGCCGCCTTCTCCTTCCTCTACAAGTTCTACACCCACCCGGCCGCCTGCCACCTCAACAAAGCGCTGCTCACCATCAATGGCAGCCTCTGTGGCATCATGTCCTTCATCTCCATCACGCCCTGTGTGCGACTCAGTGGGTATCGCACGGCACAGTGAGGGTTGCCATGCTGGATGACCAGCTACGTCCTGGGTTAGGGGTGGCTCTGCCCCCCAGCTCAGGGCCAGCACTTGACCACTGGAGGAGAACCCATCTCCCCAGGGCTCCTGACAGCCCCTCCTGTACCTTGGTGCAGGGCACTGGGCAGGGGGGTGGCATAGGGGGCTACCCGGGGCCCAAGCAGAGCTCACCCACCAGCTTATGGCACACCAGGGATTCCAGTGACACCTCTGTCCCCACCCTTGCAGAGCAGCCGCGGTCAGGGCTGTTGCAGTCCTCAATCATCAGCTGCTACGTGATGTACCTCACCTTCTCCGCGCTGTCCAGCCGTCCCCCAGAGAGAGGTGGGTGCCCCCACCCACCACCAGCAGCCCCCACCATGGTGCACTCCTGTCTCACCTCTGCGTCCCCGCAGTGCTCTACAAGGGCCAGAACCTCACTGTCTGCTTCCCGGGGGTCCGGCAGGACGAGCTGCAGACAGAGGACACCACCGTCGCCGTGCTGGGCGCTGCCATCATGTATGCCTGCGTGCTCTTTGCGTGGTACGTATGCCCAAGGCACAGGGTGGGCAGGGCCCCTGCAGCACTGGCCCACCAGGCACCAGCTCTGCTGGGCACAGCCAGCCCAACTGGCACCACACAAGGACCCCTATGGCCAGCAGAGCTGGGAATGTCCCAAGGGGTGGCAGGACCAGAGCAGATGGGGCATTGGTGGGTGGGCAGGGGCAGCACAGGGACCCTAGGTACAGCACAGCAGGGCTCCTGCAGCTGTGGGGGATCCATGGGATGGGCTGAGGGCCTGGCACAAGGCAGTGGCTGCCTGTGTTATGATTTCTGTCTCTCTCCTGGGCACAGCAATGAAGCCTCCTACCTTGCCGAGGTTTTCGGGCCCCTCTGGATGGTCAAAGTCTACAGCTTTGAGTTTGAAGTGAGTACGAATGCAGCTGT